TTTTTTTCTTGCAATGTATTTCTTATCATTTTATTAATTTTGATAGAATTTACCTACTTAAAATTATCTGTTAGATTAAGGACCTGCCCGAAACGCTGCGCGTACTAGTGGCTTTACAAGAGTGTAATTACTGTACTGTGCTATGTATTCTCACAAACCCAATGTACCTTCTTGTATATAAATAAATAAATAAATAATGTGCTGCAGGAGACAGGTCTGGCATGATATCAACCCGCAAGTCTTTTTCTTTCTCTGACTCCTGAAGAATTTCCTCTCTCTCCCAGATGATACCTTGTATCTGGCCTCCTGCTCCCTACACCTATCTTCATTTCATTACATTTGGTTGGGTTAAACTCTAACAACCATTTGTTCGACCATTCCTTCAGCTTATCTAGGTCTTCTTGAAGCCTCAAACAGTTCTCTTCTGTTTTAATCCTTCTCATAATTTTGGCATCGTCCGCAAACATTGAGAGAAATGAATCGATACCCTCCGGAAGATCATTTACATATATCAGAAACAAGATAGGACCGAGTACAGAGCCCTGTGGGACTCCACTGATGACTTCACGCCAATTGGAGGTCTCACCCCTCACCGTAACTCTCTGCTCCCTATTGCTTAGGTACTCCCTTATCCACTGGAGCACCTTACCAGCTACACCTGCCTGTCTCTCCAGCTTATGTACTAGCCTCTTATGCGGTACTGTGTCAAAGGCTTTCCGACAATCCAAGAAAATGCAGTCCGCCCAGCCCTCTCTTTCTTGCTTAATCTTTGTCACCTGATCGTAGAATTCTATCAAGCCTGTAAGGCAAGATTTACCCTCCCTGAACCCATTTTGGCGATTTGTCACGAAGTCCCTTCTCTCCAGATGTGTTACCAGGTTTTTTCTCACGATTGCATGAATGATGTGTATCTATAAGCTTGTTAATATATACAAAATATTGCTACAATAATTAATTTTGAAGAAATTTGGTGAGACGATCAAAGCAGTCTTCATATGCAAACAAAATCATCCCATCTTGTTGCAATTGTCGAGGCAGCCACTATGCTGGTTCCTATCTATGCCGCATGAAGCCTCATCTGAGAGACTCCAGGACGGGTCAGTGCGGTCTGCTGCATGATGCGAGGAGGACGTGTTGCTCCGCATCTTCGTGTTTGCACGTGGCTGCTGCAGCTAGATGTTGTGAATTTGTTCTCGACTGTTGCAGTGATACAGTGCCTTTGTGTATCGAGGAAATGGCTGAGGCGTTCTGCCTAGGTGATGGAAGATCCTGTACTGGGCCTGGAGAGTGTGACAGTGGGGATGGCAGACAGGATGATACTAGGCCGTATCAAGCAGTAGTAAACAGATATAAACGGAGAAATATTCAAAGACAGCGAGACGAAGACAGTGAGGAGGAAATAACAAAGAGACCAAAAAATGAAGACATGCTCAGCAGGACGCGGGAGATGCAGACTAATGGAAGGAAGAGGCTGTTGTTCCCTACAGCATGTCAACTGAATTTCCATCAAAAGCTGGAGTGGACGGTTCGTTTGGCTAAGGAGTTTTTTGAATATGAACCACTATTCAAGGAGGGTCTTCACCGGCCCTATATAACAGTTGGGACAGAGGAGGCCGTGGAACACCTAACGAAGGATGGGTTTGAGAATATTGTGATGGTTACTCCGGAAAAAGGTATGATGTACACCAAGGTCATAGTGTTTAAGTATCCAACTTATTTGGATCCTGATTATCTATTGCTCAACAATGATAGTGTTGTTTGGGCAAAGAGGAACAGTGTTCGTGGTGAAAAACAAAGCCAGGTTGTTGCCTTGGTAAAGGGTGAGGCTCCAGAAAGAATTTTTGTGCAAGGACTAGGCTACAGGAAAGTTGTAAAATACATTGAGGAGCCCATATTATGCATGAAGTGTTCTCGTTGGGGACATATGGCTTGGAAATGCCAGTTTGACTCCAGGTGTCGGTACTGTGGTAAGAAACACGACTCTCGAGAGTGTAGAGTCAAGATTAAAAACGGTGAAAAAATCGTCCCATCTTGTTGCAATTGTCGAGGAAGCCACAATGCTGGTTCCTATCTATGTCGCATGAAGCCTCATCTGAGAGACTCGAGGACGGGTGCTACAAGCAGGATAGATGTATCCTCGAAGGAAGGAAAGATTGTGCAGCACGAACATGGAGGAAACAGTTGGAAGCCAATGACAGCGCCTATGAACAATGTGTGGGAGAAAGGAACAGAGACAATTAAGGCGAGCCTAGGGAAAGTAGGAAATGCAGCTGAAAAAATTAAACCTTGTGGAAACAAGGTTCAGGTCAATATAGTGAACTCTGAGGTTGGTACTCAAATATTGGAATATCTAAAAAAACTAGAAAAGAGGATTGAGGCATTAGAAAAATTAACTATGGGGGGTAGACGGGGTGAAGATGGTGGTGAAACAGGACGTGAAGTGGAAAGTGAAACAGGACGTGAAATGGAAAGTGAAACAGGACGTGAAATGGAAAGCCAAACAGGACGTGAAATGGAAAGCCAAACAGGACGTGAAATGGAAAGCCAAACAGGACGTGAAATGGAAAGCCAAACAGGACGTGAAATGGAAAGCCAAACAGGACGTGAAATGGAAAGCCAAACAGGACGTGAAATGAAAAGCCAAACAGGACGTGAAATGGAAAGTGAAACAGGACGTGAAATGGAAAGTGAAACAGGACGTGAAATGGAAAGTCAAACAGGACGTGAAATGGAAAGTGAAATAGGACGTGAAGTGGAAAGTGAAACAGGACGTGAAATGTGCGTTGAAGAAAGTAAGGAAGAACATGACGTATTGATGATAGAGGATAGTCAGGAAAATGAACTTTCTAGTAGTGTTAGCGTTCAACCTTCTGTAGTGACAAATGTCGAAACAAAGGTTAAAGTAAAACGGTATAGAGAAATAAGAAAGAAATTAGATATGAATAAGATCACCTTTGATGCTAGTAGCTGTTGTGCAAATGAGGAGAAAGCAGAAATGTTACAGTGTTGGGAGAGTCTGTCTGAGAAAATCTCGTATCTCATGGAATGTGACAGACAGGGCAAAGGTAGTTTTATTAAATCATGGATGAAAGTAGAGTGAGAATATTATCTTGGAGCGTTAATGGGTTAAAATCTAGTGCGGTGGATGTACACTATTATACTCTTAGATAGTACTATATTAACCTGATTTTTAACCTGATCTGATTTTGAACCTTTTTTTTTTTTTTTTTTTTTTTTTTTTTTAACTTGTCTCAATAAACCTACTTGAACTTGGAAGACCATTATGTATTAAAGTGTCAAATTATGGATAACCATAGAAATAAGGAAATAAGTAGTGTACCACTTCAAATTGTTTGGATGTGTGATAATGATATGATAGACAGAATACTTAGGAACTACAAGAATTTTGCCCCAATGATTGTAACACTTACTATATTAATATGCAATGTTAAATGTTGTATTGTGATTTGTGTATCTACTCACTGAATTTGTGCGCCCCTTGAGGGACTTGAAGTAGAGGGGGGTAGAAATAGCCTAAGCTACTCTATCCCTTTGAGATGTATTTTTTTCTTGTCTCAATAAACATACTTGAACTTGAACTTGAACTCCAGGACGGGTCCTACAAGTAGGATAGATGTATCCTCGAAGGAAGGAAAGATTGTCCAGCAGGAACATAGAGGAAATAGCCGGAAGCCAATGGCAGCGCCTATGAACAATGTGTGGGAGAAGGAACTGAGACAATTAAGACGAGCCTTGGGAAAGTAGGAAATGCAGCTGAAAAAATTCAACCTTGTGGAGACAAGGTGCAGGACAATATAGTGAACTCTGAGGTTGGTACTCAAATATTGGAATATCTAAAAAAAAACTAGACAAGAGGATTGAGGCATTAGAAAAATTAGCTATGGAGAGTAGACGGGGTGAAGATGGTGGTGAAACAGGACGTGAAATGGAAAGTGAAACAGGACGTGAAATGGAAAATGAAACAGGACGTGAAATGGAAAATGAAACAGGACGTGAAATGAAAAGTGAAACGTGCGTAGAAGAAAGTAAGGAAGAACATGACGTATTGATGATAGAGGATAGTCAGGAAAATGAACTTGGTGTTCAACCTTCTGTAGTGACAAATGTTGAAACAAAGGTTAAAGTAAAACGGTATACAGAAAAAAAAAATAGATATGAATAATATTACCTTTGATGTTAGTAGCTGTTGTGCAAGTGAGGAGAAAGCAAAAATGTTACAGTGTTGGGAGAGTGTGTTTAAGAAACTCGTATCTCATGAAATGTGACGGACAGGGCAAAGGTAGTTTTATTATTAATCATGGATGAAAGTAGAGTGAGGATATAATCATGGAACGTTAATGGGTTAAAATATAGTGCGGTGGATGTACACTATTATACTCTTAGAGTACTATATTAACCTGAAATGTTAAATGGGATTCTTGTATTTGTACTCGCTGAATTTGTGCGCCCCTTGAGGGACTTGAAGTATGGAAGGGGGGGGGGGGTAGAAATAGCCCAAGCTACTCTGAGATATATTTTTTTTAACTTGTTACAATAAACATACTTGAACTTGAAAGAATATTATGTTTTAGAGTGTCAACTTATTGATAACTATATAAATAAGGAAATAAGTAGTGTGCCACATCAAATTGTTTGGATGTGTGATAATGGTATGATAGACAGTATACTTAGGAGCTACAAGAATTTTGCCCCAATGATTGTAACACTTATATGCTGTACTTACTATATTAACCTGCAATGTTAAATGTTGTATTGTGATTTGTGTATTTGTCCCTTGAGGGACTTGAAATAGAGGGGGGGGGGGGGGAGGGGTAGAAATAGCCTAAGTTACTCTATCCCTTTGAGATGTATTTCTTTCTTGTCTCAATAAACATACTTGAACTTGAACATATGCAAACAAAATCATTTTAGAATCGTTAATAAAAGCTTTAGAATAAATAGGTTATAAACACGCCAGTAATGCCGATTTTATCTTTTAGCACCCTGCGGCAGTCACCCATAGAGGAGTTCATTCACCTCCAGCACAAGCAGCCATTTATGCTCAACAAACCCTCCAGGCCCAAGTACGTAGGTTACCTTTTGTAAGCTATTGTAGAGTAAATAATAAATAATAAATAAATGTTTATTCAGGTAAAGTACATACATACAAGAGGTTTTACAAAAATGGAGATTTATAGGTAGAGCTAGTGCATACAATGCCTAAGCCACTATTACGCAAAGCGTTTCAGGCAGGAAAAACATTAAAGACTAAAACTTAATACTAAGCTTTAGTATCATAAAAAATAGCAGTAGAAGTTGAACATGTATAAACAAAATTATGCTCATTCGATTATGGTTTCAAATACTGACTTTGATTAAAAATAACAACAAAACGCTACATATATCACATGGTAGCGATTATTATTTTATGTGACGGAAATATTTCACTAAGCAATTGACATTTCTGTACCTTGAAGGAAACTCATGTAGAAACTTACGAGTATGCATGGGACTTTTTATTTAAATTAATTTAAGTAGTTTATACTAAATATTATTATAAACAAACTTTATATGTATAATTTATAAGTAGTTACTATTATAACTGATTTAACCTAATAAATAATTATGGTACGGAAGAGAAGGGAATTTCCAGGGGAAAGTACCATGCCATTACGACTATATAGCACTTGGAACGGGGACGGAATAAGGATTTGGGATGGGTTGGGTGGGGAAGGAATGGTGCCCAGTCATGCAGGTCGACTTGCAGGACGCCTGACCGTCGATCTACCGTCCAGCCCAAGTGGTGCGGGGGGGGGGGGGGGGAGTTAAGTAAGCTATAGTCACAGTCTATATCCTAGTTAAAATTAATAATTCATGAGTAATGCAGTTACTCAATTCAATTGAGAGTAATTCAATTACGCAATACGGTCTTATATTTTTAACACCATCATAACTCTGCTATCAGAACTATAACAAACTGTCTTCAGACAACACAAAGCCCCTCTGGTTAAGTCCCTTAACATGCTAAACATACACTCACTCCACACATTCTCATGTGCTATCTACATGCACAAAACCTTGTTCCTAAATGCTAATCTTGATCTGAAACATTTCCTTGATAGATGTAATAGAACCCATGATCACCACCAGAAATATATGTCTCTTTGATATCCCCAGAGTCAGACTAAATCTGTCCAAACACTCCATGCAAATAAAAGGGCCCGGTCTTTGGAACTCGCTCCCTGATGAATTACAAAATTGCCCAACCAATGCCCTGTTCAAAAGTAAAACCAAAAAAGTACTTAATAACATTCTCATAGTTTCCTACCTTGTGCTTCAAACTCACACTGTGTCTTGTACTACCCACTTCCACAATATTAGTACTTAAGACATATATCTTTACCAGTGTAATTACCTCTGTCAACTTATGTTGTAGTTATTTGTTGATATAAAACCTTGCTACAATGTACCTTTGCATCTTACATGATATGTTAGATGAATTACTTGCCCGAAACGTTATGCGTGTTAGAGACTTTGCATGAATGTAAAAATACCTAACTTATGTAACGTCACCAACTCATTATACTTGCAAATAAATTATTATTATTATTATTACTATTATTATTATTATTATAACACGGTAGGATGTAAGTAGATATAAGTATACACAGAGAAATCACATTATCGTGATATATCAATGAACAAATGCACAGGAGCCGTGACAGGGACTCGAACCTATGCACTGGGTGTTCAAAGATGCACACTAGTCAACTGCGTCACGACATGGTACAATAATTGTAACCTGGGGTACACCTTCACCCACAAGGATCCCGAGGCTGCCACTGAAGATCAACCGGGGTTTCACACAATCCCCCCCCCCTACCCTCGGGCTCTGTTGTCCAGGGGTTCTGCGTCTTTCAATACCTCTTAGATACAAGTATAACTATAATAAGCTAGGGTTAAAGCAGATCATAACTTATGAATAGTAATTTCTTACCGAAGTTTACAAAGTTATAGTTAACTGTAGCTATAGTCTGAAGTGCATTTAACTGACATAATGGAATGTATTTGAGTTAACTGATAAAAGGAAAATTATGTAACCAATTCCTATTAGTAAACTAGAGGCAAAGGCCGCGATGAATAACAGAGTAACTAGGGATATAGAAGGATAACGTAAGCAATTAACCAGTTACCCGATTCATAATGTAGGGGTGCCGAATGGAGCTGTATGAAGCGTATATATGACAAGTGGCACCTGGGGCTATGCAAGAGTCCCGTACGCTACGAGGGAGTGAGTGTGGGACATCACGGCGAAATCTGGGAGACAGGTGGGCTGTGCGTTTAATGTGGTTGGCGGCTGCTTGTGTAGAGAGCTCGCGACCTTCTTGTTGTTTTAGATTTAGCTACTCTGAACTAAAAGTTCCAAGTAACACGGGCTATGGTGTGCCCGTAGTGAACTTACCTGGCACAGGAGCGAACCGTGGTTGACCTCTTAAGTACACGTAGGATGTGCGCGCGCAGCCCCACCCAATCCGATTCACTCGTTTTCTTCATACAGAAACTTTCCAGCAGGATTATTTCTCAAACTTGAAACTGGCATTTAAAAATGTTTTAATGTCGTATATAGAGCTAAAGTTATGTTATGAATTAATATGAATGACCAAAGGTAAGGATGATTTATCAGAGATTTGCCCTTAACACACACACGCACACACTCACACGAACACGCATATACACACACGCACACGCATATACACACACGCACGCCGAAGAAATATAAGAAAATTCACTTTCGCAAACAGAGTGGTAGACGGTTGGAACAAGTTAGGTGAGAAGGTGGTGGAGGCCAAGACTGTCAGTAGTTTCAAAGCGTTTTTTTTTTTTTTTTTTTTTTTATTATTTTCTACCACAGACGTGGCCACACATTTACAATGCTAACCAGCATATATACATTTTCTTCTGTCCTCCATGGACAGGGTTAGAGAAGTGTTAAACATATAGTTCAAGGGTTTATTGAACACTCAACCACAGAAGGTGATTCGGTGCTTTTAAAATGCTAAGCTAACCTACATACGTAAATACATAGATACACAGATTTACGTATGTCCTACATAAAGTGTTAGATGTGTCTTTTACATAGTGTCATTAATGTACATTCACAAAGGTGAAATGTAATTCTGATCAGCTTCCAAATATACTTTATACCCATACATATACATACACACACACACATATACATACATATTCTCCAGCAAGGTGCTGGAGAAGATCGTGAGGAAAAGGCTCGTAGAGCATCTGGAGGGAAATAACTTTGTAACGCACCATCAACATCAGTTCAGAGATGGTAAATCGTGCCTCACAGGTTTAATAGAATTTTGTGACCAGGCAACGAAAATTAGGCAAGAAAGAGAAGGGTGGGCCGACTGCATTTTCCTGGATTGCCAAAAAGCCTTTGACACAGTACCCCATAAAAGGCTGTTAAAAAAGTTGGAGCAACAGGCAGGAGTAAAAGGGAAGGTGCTCCAGTGGATAAGGGAGTACTTAAGCAACAGGAAACAGCGAGTAACGGTGAGGGGGGAGACATCAGAGTGGCGAGATGTCACCAGCGGAGTCCCACAGGGCTCAGTACTTGGACCCATCCTGTTTCTAATATATGTGAACGATCTTCCAGAGGGTATAGACTCATTCCTCTCGATGTTTGCTGATGATGCAAAAATTATGAGAAGAATCAAGACGGATGAAGATAGACAGAGACTACAGGATGACCTGGATAAACTGGAGGAATGGTCTAGAAAATGGCTGCTAAAGTTCAACTCGGGAAAGTGTAAGGTGATGAAATTAGGCGAAGGGAGCAGGAGGCTGAACACAAGGTATCATCTGGGAGGGGAAATCCTGCAAGAGTCAAATAGAGAGAAGGATCTGGGGGTTGATATAACACCGAACCTGTCCCCAGAGGCCCACATCAAAAGAATACCATCAGCGGCATATGCTAGACTGGCCAACATAAGAACTGCCTTCAGAAACTTGTGTAAGGAATCTTTCAGAACCCTGTATACCACTTATGTAAGACCAATCCTGGAGTATGCAGCTCCAGCCTGGAGTCCATACCTAGTTAAACACAAGACAAAGTTAGAGAAGATTCAGCGGTATGCCACCAGGCTCGTCCCGGAACTGAGAGGATTGAGCTACGAGGAAAGGCTAAAGGAGCTGAACCTCACATCCCTGGAAAACAGAAGAGTAAGGGGAGACATGATAACCACCTACAAAATTCTCAGGGGAATTGACAGGGTGGACAAAGACAAACTCTTCAGCACGGGTGGGACACGAACAAGGGGACACAGGTGGAAACTTAGTACCCAGATGAGCCACAGAGACGTTAGAAAGAATTTTTTCAGTGTCAGAGTAGTTAATAAATGGAATGCACTAGGAAGTGATGTGGTGGAGGCTGACTCCATACACAGTTTCAAATGTAGATATGATAGAGCCCAGTAGGCTCAGGAATCTGTACACCAGTTGATTGACAGTTGAGAGGCGGGACCAAAGAGCCAAAACTCAACCCCCGCAAGCACAATTAGGTGAGTACAATTAGGTGAGTATATACACACACACATGCATTCACATACATTTGTCTCATTTACTCTGACAGGGTGAGATAGCGGATAAAGAAACTAGTGTGCAAATAAGCACTTAATCACTGAAGGTGATGAAGGTGCTTTTACAAGCTCAGGTTATATAATTACATCATATATATACATTGTATGATTGATATATTACATGGTCAATCTTGGATACAAGTCCAATATATCATCAAGTGTTCCAGTACTCATATAGTAATTACAGAGTTCAGCATACCTTAGCCCAGGAGGGCGAAAGTCAGTCAATATGGGACATTCTACAATATAATGTTCAAGAGAGTGCATGTTTTCTCTTTCACAAAGTTGACACATTGTGTACTCGACATTTGGCGTTATATGACAAAGAGTACTGGGAAGACGGGACACCACGAGCGTAGCTCTCATCCAGTAACTACACTTGCAATAACCTTAATTCCAAGTACAGTTGTTCATAAATGCTTATTTCAGCGTGGCGCAGCACGCCTTCCTCTACCTGCAGTGGCTCAAGGTGGGCGTGGCTGTCCTTGGTCAACAGTGTCCAGGTTGGTACTTTACTAATCTACCACTATATATATTGACTCTAGAATTGACCGCTTATATACATTACCACTTCACTATTATATTGTAAAGTATTCTTGGAAGGCACATCTGTACTGAGGTTAGAGTAAACTTACAGGTTAATGTAGCACCACTAATAATTTTCCTTGCGTGTTAGTGACCTTGCAAGAATGTAGAATCATCAATGCTATGTACTCTCATAAACCCAATATATATATATATATATATATATATATATATATATATATATATATATATATATATATATATATATATATATATATATATATATATATATATATATATATATATATATATATATATATATATGCAGGTATTTTTGTTCAACATTTCTCTTGTTAGAGTAATGTCATGGGCTTGTCTTATGTGATTCCTAGGGGCACCAGATTGAAGATGGTTATCTTCAATCTGGTGCCCCTAGGAATCACATGAGACAAGCCCATGACATTACTCTAACAAGAGAAATGTTGAACAAAAATACCTGCATAATAGACAATACCCAAGATGCAAGAAGATTACAAATTCTTGAGGCAATATATATATATATATATATATATATATATATATATATATATATATATATATATATATATATATATATATATATATATATATATATATATATATATATTGGTAGCAGTCTTTCCTGTAGACATATTTTATTAAATATGACCGAAAAAGTAAGATTAATAATTCTAACACGAATTTTCTCAATCTTTCGTACATTATGCTTCACTGTTGGAGGTAAATCAAAAATCACTTCTCCAAAATTCATTTTTATTTCTAGTCTGACGCGACACGGGCGCGTTTCGTAAAACTTATTACATTTTCAAAGACTTCACAAATACACAACTGATTAGAACTTGCATTTCCCTGATTTTATATCTACATTTGAGTGAGGTGGGAAGGGTGATGTGGCATTACATTTGATTGAGGTGGGAAGGATGATGTGGCATTAGAGGATATTAATAGGGTATTAAAAGTATCAACACAAGACAGAACACGAAACAATGGATATTGAATAGAAGTGTTTGTAGAAAGCCTATTGGTCCATATTTCTTGATGCTTCTATATTGGAGCGGAGTCTTGAGGTGGGTAGAATATAGTTGTGCAATAATTGGCTGTTGATTGCTGGTGTTGACTTCTTGATGTGTAGTGCCTCGCAAACGTCAAGCCGCCTGCTATCGCTGTATCTATCGAATAGATACAGCGATAGCAGGCGGCTTGACGTTTGCGAGGCACTACACATCAAGAAGTCAACACCAGCAATCAACAGCCAATTATTGCACAACTATATTCTACCCACCTCAAGACTCCGCTCCAATATAGAAGCATCAAGAAATATGGACCAATAGGCTTTCTACAAACACTTCTATTCAATATCCATTGTTTCGTGTTCTGTCTTGTGTTGATACTTTTAATACCCTATTAATATCCTCTAATGCCACATCATCCTTCCCACCTCAATCAAATGTAATGCCACATCACCCTTCCCACCTCACTCAAATGTAGATATAAAATCAGGGAAATGCAAGTTCTAATCAGTTGTGTATTTGTGAAGTCTTTGAAAATGTAATAAGTTTTACGAAACGCGCCCGTGTCGCGTCAGACTAGAAATAAAAATGAATTTTGGAGAAGTGATTTTTGATTTACCTCCAGCAGTGAAGCATAATGTACGAAAGATTGAGAAAATTCGTGTTAGAATTATTAATCTTACTTTTTCGGTCATATTTAATAAAATATATATATATATATATATATATATATATATATATATATATATATATATATATAGCATAAAATACAGTGTAGGCACTTGACCATATGTATTAACTGGTAAGTTTGCAGGTAGAGTAACTACCTTACCAGTAAAAAGAATGAAAGTAATTCATCTCACCCATCGGTGTACACCTTAATACTCAACACACACATTACTCAACTTTACATACATTACCTAGAATGTCTGATTTACCTGAGGACCATTAATACTCTAGTGGCCTCGATTAGGACAGGAAGCCGGTGGCTTGTCTCAGGTTCCCCTATTTGTGCTATTTGTGCTATTTGTGCTGATAATTTTTTCAAGCTGGATTTTAAAATTCAGCAGTACAGTATTTTGACATTTATGACTTGTGAGGGTAGGCGTTTCCTTGGATTTTGTTACATCTGACCTTTTGAATGTGTTGTCTGGATCAATATCCTCCAAATTGTTCAGTATTTACAAAGTTTCTGTGAGATCCGCCCTGTCATGCCTGGTTTAGTATTAGCCTTATGGCCCTCAACCGTTGCTGGTATGAGAGTGGACTTAGCTCGGGAATAATTTGTGTTGCCTGGTGTTGACCTTTCTCCGAGGCTGCACTGTGTTTCTGAAGATGAGGTCATCTCCATCCTTGGCTACAGTAATCCAAGATGGGGGCACACCACAGATTTATACCTTTCCTTAAATTTATGCAAATTTCCTTAAAGTCAAAGATTCGTTTGACTATTCCTAAGGGTTTGGTTACCATTGTTGTTACTGTAGCTCCCATTTGTGCATCAAGTAAATACACTACCTACAAGTGCACATGTGTAAGTCATCAGTGTTTGAATGGAGCACGCTAGGATCCGTGTTTGAGCTAATCTTGTTCTTAATTTACGTCAATGACAAAGTCTAAAACTGCGTAAAAGCACATACAATGCCATATGTATGCCATATATGCCATATATCAATGGCATATTACGTTATTACAAAATGGCTTGCACAACCTTCACTAATGGTCAAAATATTAGAAAATGCTTCTTAGTATAGAAAACTGCAAAACCCTGCATATGGGATACAGAGATCCACATCACATTTAATACATTAAAAACACTTCCTGTTTGCTACCGGTACTGATTGAAAAATTATAATAAGTTTGGCGCGATGGTTTACCAATGGTTACTGGCAGTACAGTTGGAGGAGCTGTACACAAAGATAACCCAAACTTGTAACAACCTGAGACTCGTCGTGTGTGGTAGTTTATTATGTCGCCCCGACTTTGTGAGAACCCTGTCACTGTACCTGAAATCCTTGCACTGTACCCACATTTTGCTTCCAGTAGATGAACGACATATGAGATTCAGAAACAAGTAGTGTATTGTGAGGACTAATAATAAATAGAAGCTCCCCTATGACTCTGTAATATCCCCATTGGCCAAACTATTATGTATTAACGACAAGATCTACCATTAATGTATGATGACTTACTGTAAATATGTAGCTCTTGTAATAGCACTTTCTCTGTAACTAGCTGACATTGAATCTATAAGGTGTGAAGGATAGATGAAATTGTTTATGTAATAATCTAAGATGAGGTCTGATAAAGACCTTTTGTGCCCTCTGTAATGCTTTTGCACTACCGCTCACAGGATGGGTATGAGGTGCACAATAAACTAGCCGCCTTCGGCGGCAACAATCAAAACCTGTCACTGTTTGACACGGTTACAATTACCACTATGTGCACTGAGAATGTCATTGATGGTAACACAACAAATTATTATTGGCGATATACTAAATATGCCAATAAGGAAATGTTTGTACTCTAATTGCTTGCTTTAATAATTGATATGCATATTTATTATTGAGTAATGTAAGTAATGCAGTGACTTGAATTTACTATAATTATACATTTCTTATAATTTGTTTATGTACATAGTTTCCTTTATCTGATAGTATACCAAGATCTTCAACAAGATCTTGTAGATCTGAGGCAAAGTGAAATTGACACCAGTAATTCCATCTATCATCATACTATCATGCAAGAGGAGCCACACATCTATGGTTCATCCAATAAAATCAGCAGACTTCTAGATGTTACTACTGCTCGGCTTAGACTCGGTTACAAGTATCTCTGGGAATTCTCATTATCTGCTGATGTACACCTGACCAAATGTAAACTGTGTCAACAAAATTATTCGCACACCCTCCGTCACTATGTGATGGAGTGCGAAAAGATACATGAATTTAGAGGCAATTCTATAACCAATGTTCCAGCGATGTGTCAATATTTCATTCAAAATGATCTGCTACCAGAAATATTATCCAAATATCCCCAGTTTGCTAACTGTAGGTAGTAACTGAGTGATTGTAACCTATCCACCGCTGCCCACTGGATGGGGGGCGGTGTGCAGGACAAACATATCAATTGTGACACTAGCTCTCCACATATGTCAGTTGCATAATTTAGAACCTGTACTTGAGGTCGATCTCGAACCCATTGTTGATGTGATGACTTATATTGAAGTTTGTAACTAGCTCATCAAGATTGTAACTTGCTTAGGTAAATGAATTGTGGGGTTCAGTCCCTGAGCCCATTATGTGCCTCTGTAACCCTTTCCACTACCGCCCACAAGATGGGTATGGGGTGCATAATAAATTAACTAAACTAATTGTTAAGGCAAAATGTGAATACAGTATAGAAATTTCAGATATTTTACTGTTAATGATAAAGTGGTGCTCACGTTCAGGCGCAGAAGCAAATAGACAATGTACAGAATGATAGTGTGCAGAATCCAGGAACAATCTCAACCCCTAGCAGCAATATCGGGAGTTTAAATTGCTTATAAACAAATGCCAGAGGTTTAGAAAATAATTTTTATGTATGGTCGGCCGGTATGGTTTGATATAGGGAGCCGGTCGGCCAAGTGGACAGCACGCTGTGCTTGTGATCCTGTGGTCCCGGGTTCAATCCCGGGCGCCGGCGAGAAACAATGGGCAGAGTTTCTTTCACCCTATGCCCCTGTTACCTAGCAGTAAAATAGGTACCTGGATGTTAGTCAGCTGTCACGGGCTGCTTCCTGGGGGTGGAGGCCTGGTCGAGGACCGGGCCGCGGGGACACTAAAGCCCCGAAATCATCTCAAGATAACCTCAAGATGGTGTGCATACACGAGGTTGAGAACCTCGACATCATTGGGATCAGCGAAGTATAAGGACAAGAAGACATAATT